TTACGACCGATTTGAGTCTAGAAGCTAGTATGACAAATTGAGTGATGATCGGTTTAGATATAGCTATGGCTCCCATATATACTCTTCATCCGATTTGTTTTATTTGTTACCCACAGCCGTAATATGCACTCCGTAACAACGATATTCAGGGAAATATATCAAATACAGCTCAGAAATATCTTTGCCAAATTTTATCGAGATTCTTTCAGATTTGGATATAGCTCTCATATATATCTTTATCCGATTTCAAATTAATTGTGCACCAAATGGGCAATACAATTCAGAATTTAAAAGATACAAATGCTTCGGCATATTTAGTCTTTGAACTTTAAATTATAATTATAATCATAGCGTGTATGATTGAATTCTCCCATAAAAACTTTTAATTGTTATGTGGATCTCTACTTAATTAGCAAAGTGGTGTAGGGTATCATAAAGTCGGCCCCGCCCGACTTGATGACTTTTTTTACTGGTTTTAATATGAATTCCTGGCGTTGAAGTAAGATTTAGACTCTTGTTATTATCTAGGACCTACTAAAGAATTTTATGACAGATAATTTGACTATTTTGAGTATCTAAAAAAGGTCCAAAAAGACCATTCTGTTGACTCACTTGAAGGTTTTTAATTTACACTACAATATTCCTCGTATTTTTATCTGCATATTGCCGAAGGAATTATATACCTAAAATGCACGGATTCCGAGGAAATTTTCCAAAAGTGTGTATGTGGAGAAACTTGTCCTTGTTGGTTGCTTTTCGATGGGAACTTTTAAAACTCCGATACACGTGCCTTCTTCTTTAGCCCTTCTTTCATAATATGCTGGATTTTCTCCGTTATTATTGAAAGAATTTAATTTTGTCGCACAGTGAAATTGAAGACTTACAAATTATATTCAAAATACGTTGAGTGAGTTTGTGGAAAAAAAATCTCCAAAAAGCATCATTTAAGATGAAATATGTCAAAGACAAAAATATTCTTCATCAAATTTTACTATAATCCACCACTGTATATCTAAAAAAAGTTGCATCAATGTTCCCAAAAATTAAAAATAGTCCCTTATTCTTTTGGTCAATTTTTCATCGGACTTTTTTCGAATTGACACCAGTTTCATTTTAGGCAGAATATGTCAAAGGAAGAAATATTCTGCACAAAATTTCACTATGAATCTCAGAATAAATCATATATCTAGGTACAATAGGTTTTATGAAAACTATATTCATAATATGCTGGATTTTCCCCGAAACTATTGTAAACAAGTAAGCAAAGGATATAATAGTGCGGGGCCGACCATGTGATACCCTACAACACTACAATATGTTAGAAACCCTCTTATGTCCAAATCCATTTTGGAAGATTTGAAATTATGTCACGGAGCACTGCACAGATATTACCCTTAGCATTTTGTCCAAGGACATTTGCCCAATACTTACGCACTCCGTCGTGCTGTTAGTTGTTGTGGTCCATTTTACGGCTAAATATAATACAATGGTCATCCAAAATGTTAGAATTCTTCCCTGTCCTTCTCAGTCGTGTCGATAGGCTTCAATTGTGTGATCAGGAATTTTTTTCTGTTTTTGGTTCATTTGAACCTCTAAATATTTTGCGATCATCTCCAAAAGCAAGAGGCCCCTCTGTATCTCCAAATTCATACTCATCTATATGATTTGCTTGTCTACGATATTTGGCTATATTCAAGAGCAGATGTTCTCCTTTTGTGTATATTTTGGATTTCGCCTGAAGTTATTTTTAACGTTTCGGTGGAATTGAGATGTTGGTATTTTTTTCACACGAAAGCTCCGCTGCCATAAACTCAAACTTCATGCGAGATTTCGTGTCCTTTCTAATTGTGACTTTTATAACGGTTGCGAAATCAGGAACATTTCTAGAGGTTGGTCAATTTCAAAGCCTAAATATATTGTGGACATCGTTCAAAACAATAGACCTAGCCCTTCTGAGCCCAACCTTACCCTTGTGAAAAATTTCGTGAGGATCGGACCATAATTGCAATCTGTATATAATAACCCCAACTTGTATTGTAAGGTGAACAAATATTACAAAATGTATATTTCAATATTATACGTCAAATTAAAAAAATCGCATGCGATAAAAAATATGAAAAAATAAAAATATGTCACAAAATACTAAAAGTCTATTTTAACGTCATTATTCACAACTTTTTATGCGATTTTTTATACCCCCAGCCATATGGCTACAGAGGGCATATATCATTTAATTCGGTCAAAACGTACCTAGTCGAAATAACGGGTTCAGACCCTAGGTCTCTGTGGACCAAATCCGTTTCAGGACATTTGGAGTCGATCTAGCGATGTCCGTCCGTCCGTCTGTCTGTCTGTCTGGCTGGTGCCCACGATAACTCTCGAAGGGAGTACCCGATTTGGTCCAAACTTTGTACATCGTAATATTTTTGTCAAACTTAGATCGAGTTCGGAGATGGGCAATAACAGTCCACTCCTTCTGGTACATCCCCCACAAAAGGTCGAAATATTCAAAAAATATATTTTCTGCACAGAAAGAGAAATGATGATCTGATTTTGCTCCAAGTATGCAAATCCTAATATTTTTGTCTGTGCTAGGTCAAGTACGAAAATGTACAATATTGGTCCACTCTATCATGTACCCCCCCCACAAAGGGTCAAAATTTTGAATAATAACAACTCTTATAAAATGTGAAATAAGAGTCCGATTGTCTTCAAATTTCACACATCCCAATAATTTTATTAGCGTAATATCTGGTGCGAAGGTGGAATACACCGGTCCACTCCTTCTGGTACCTCCCCCACAAAAGGTCGAAATTTTCAAAAAAAAAAAATATATATATATATCTTCTGCACAGAAAGAGAAAGGATGATCCGATTTTGCCCCATCTTTACAAATCCTAATATTTGTAACAGCGCAAGGTCAGGTGCAAAAATGGACAATATCGGACCACTCCATCAAGTACCTCCCCAACAAAAGGTCGAAATTTGCAAAAAATATATTTTCTGCACAGAAAGGGAAAGGATGATCCGATTTTGCTCCAACTTTTCGAATCCTAATATTTGCGTAGGTGCTAGGTCAGGTGCGAAAATGGACTATATCAGTCCACTCTATCAAGTACCTCCACCACAAAAGGGTCAAAATTTTGAATAATTATAACTCTTATAAAATGTGATGTAAGGAACCAAACGTCTTAAAATTTTACACACCAATATTTCTATAAACCTAAGATCTGGTGTTAACATGGAATATATCGGTCCACTCCTTCTGGTACCTCCCCCACAAAATGTCGACATTTTGAATACCCATGTGGCTCATAAACGCCAAATTAACATCCCATTCCATTTAGACTTGGAACATCTGAATATTTCTATCAACAAAAGATCTGCTATAAAGATGGTATAGATCGAACCATTTCTTCTAGTATCTCCCCCATACATAAGTTTCAAGATTTAAAAAAAAAAACGCTCAAATAAAACGAAATAAGCATCCAACTCTCTGCAAATTTCAAACATATAAAAATTTTTGCTAACACAAGATTTGTATATATCTTCGAACCCCTTCTGGCACCTCACCCACATAGTGTCACAACTTTCAATAATTTTATCTGTTTTTATGATTTCGCATAAAATGCGAAATGGACAATATTGACCCATTCCTTCGGAACCTGCTGCATAGAGGGTCAAACGTTTGAATAATCGTAATACTAGCCAAAACATATTTAAATAATCTAACGTAGGCTGAGGGTATATATCTGTCGGTAATACCGACTGATACTTTTTAACTTGTTAGATGTTATTTTTATATGCCAAAAGGGCATTCTGATTGTTGAGATATAAGTATAACATAACTATAACTAGCTAACATCCCCTTCCTTTGTATATACATTGTATATATATTTCGCTACACATATCCGATATTTTTGCTACCGGTCAGAATTGACCTGTTCGTCTATTTGTGATTTCGCCGGGATTAAAATTATTCGCGGTTTCATGGAAAATTTGGCTTTTATTTAACACAAATGTTATGGTCTATTTCACCCACTAAATATTAGCCGATGACCATCAAAATTGGAAGGCTTCTGCCCAGCCCTAAGCTCTAGCCTCATGCTAACTTCCGCTTCGATTGGTCTATAAATGTGACCTGTAGAGCAACTGCAAAATCAGGAAAATTTTTCAGTTTTTGGTCCATTTCCCCCTAAGTATTATGCGATCATTTTCAATTTCGTGATGATCGGGCCATAATTTCGACCTGTAGCGTGATTACAAGTTAACATGGACAGACGGACGGACATACATAACTAGATCGACTCAGCTCAGCGAGATAGGAAGATCCATATGTACTTTCATATGTGGGAAACCAATGTTTTGAGGTGTGACATAATTTTTGGCCCAATAAATTCAAATTTTATAAAAATTGAATTTTGTCGCACAGTGAAATTCAAATTTTACGAATTATATTCAAGATCCTCGATTTGCTCTTCCCTACGCCATTATTCCCCATTAAAGCTCTTATATATGAATATGAAGAAATTTTCTATAATTATGAACTTTAAATAGCATATTTAAAAATAATTACCAAAAAGTAAAGTCGCAACTAATGAGTTCCGAGTAGACTTTATTTTAATTATAATAGTTTGCTGTTGTTCGATAGTGCTCGACCCCATGCAAGTTTATTATCATCGTGTTCCTTTGCCGAAAGCACAAAATAATTTCATATTTTAAGATCCTTTGTAAATAATTTTCCAGCAGGATTTTGTTTTTAAACTTTGGTTGCCCTTGGCAATGACTGACATTTGGCGGTGCTTGTACTTTAATAATCTGCACATTTTCTTTTTTTTTTTTTTTTGTTGCTTGACCTTGCAGTTTATGTTTTGTACTATTTTTTTGAAAAACGACAACAAGGATAATCACCTCCTTTTTTAAAAACACCCCAGGTGGACAGAATTACACATTTATTGTCCTTATATGCTGATGATGATGATGATGAAAAGTTTACCTACCTTTGTACGGCCAAAGCCAGTGTCAGCCAAATTGAAGCTGTGTGACACATTGCTGGCATTATCTGAAAGAGAAAAAGAAAGAGAAAACAACAATTTCAGAATGAAAGGAAACCAAAACAAAATGCAAGAAAAAGAAAATCTTAACAAATGTGTATAATGGTCATCGCTTTTGTTTTCTTAAAGAATGGCAAGTACAAGTTACTATTTTTGAGAAAACAAAAGACCTGGGATAACAAGAGAGAGAAAATAATATGCAGATGCAGATTTGTTGCATATTTTATGCAACAATTGCAGGAGGGTTTTAATTATTTAAAGAAACAAAAGATAAGGGCTTTTGTTTGCTTGGCACAACATAAACACTTCTGCATAAACTTTTAACAAGAAAATACATTTGTTTACATATTAAATGCTATTATGTAATTGTATTTTTTTTTTTTGAACTGTTATTTATTTATCGCAATTTAATTTAAATGATAAACAAAACAAGTTAAGAAGCATCAGTCGGTTTTGCCGACAGATGTATACCTTAAGTCAATATTCGATTTTTTAAATATATTTTGATTTCTGCAATGATTAATCAAATTGTTGACCCTCTATGGAGTAGGTTCCGAAGGACTGGACCAATATTGTCCATTTCGTATCGGATCTAAATAAATATGATGTAAATGTTGAGACGTGCCAGGACTGGACTATACTTCCTTCACTTTATATGAGATATGTGATAATTTGTAGAAAATGTTACCAGATATAGTCTACCGAAGTATTCCATTTTTATACCCTTGTGGCGGCCGGAAAGTACTCAATAATAATTTACTTTAAAAATATTATTTTTATGTGATCAAGTCATCTTTGATTTTGTATTTTTCTTTTTTCGTCAAGTTAGCCTTGACTTTCAGTTTTTGTATTGGGTGACAACAAAATAATTTTTACTTTTTCGAGATAGTTCTTTTTTGTCTTTTGGAAATTAAACATTAAACTAAAAAATTAAATTGTTGTGGTTTTATTCATACCAACGCCCAACAAATTGGTGACCCCGGACAAAAAAATAAGAACAGCCAATTGAACGGAAATCAGACCTACTAATGTCAACCACCGCTACAAATTCTGGACCATCAATGGAAGTTTCGCGAGTAGCTGTGAAAGCTCCACCATTTTGGCGTTCAGACCCGCTGCTTTGGTTTAAACAAATGGAATCGCAATTCATTATGGCTGGTATTACGCAAGATTCCACAAAATTCCATACCATTGTCGCATCTATTGAAAGCAGTATTTTGGAGAAGGTATCAAACATCATCGTCGATCCTCCTGCGGAAAACATGTACGACACGCTTAAGGAAAAACTTATTAGCAGTTTTTCGGATTCAGAGGAGAAGCGTCTCAAGAAGCTTTTGACTAACGTTGAACTTGGAGACAAGAAGCCTTCAGAGTTATTATCCGAAATGCGGTCTTTGTCTCAAGGTAAGGTTTCAAACGACATTTTGAAGCAGTTGTGGATGCAACGTCTTCCTTCACAAATGAAGGCGATATTGTCAGTTAGTGAAGATAGTCTTGACAAATTATCAACGATGGCCGATAAGATTGCGGATAGCAGTGAATCGGATGTGTGCAGCTTTTCTCCATCGAGCACTCGTTTAGAGGAAATTGAAAAGAAATTGCAAACGCTCTGCACGCAGATAAATTCCTTCAGGAAGTCAAGAAGCCGTAGCAAGTCATCATCATCAAGGAATAGACGGTCAAATTCCGGAAGCAAATCAAAACCTTATTGTTGGTATCATTTCAAATTTGGGGAGAAAGCCAGAAAATGTCTTGCTCCATGCAATTATAAGCCTCCAACTTCGGAAAACTGAATGGTGCACCATCTTTGGTGACGGATGAGTGTACCCCAGATATATGTCGCCTGTTTGTTCGAGACATTAAATCGAAAACCAGGTATTTAGTAGATACAGGGGCAGATTTAACGGTATATCCTGTGTCGCAATCCATGCGAAATCAACCTCCCAGTCAGCTTGTTTTGTATGCCGCAAACCAAACTCCGATTAGGACATATGGTACAAAAACCCTTTCCATAGATTTGGGAATGAATCGATTGTTTAAATGGAACTTCGTAATTGCTGATGTACAAAAACCTATTATTGGATCAGATTTTTTGGGGAAATATGGACTACTTATCGATATTAAGAATAATACTCTTATAGACCCCCACACCAATTCCGTTTGTAACACCTCGAAATATACATTTTAGACCCCCACAAAAAATATATATTCTTGATCAGCATAAAATTGTATGTCGATTTAGCAATGTCCGTCTGTCTGTCTGTGTGTCTGTCTGTGTGTCTGTCTGTCTGTCTGTCTGTCTGTCCGTCTCTCTGTCTGTTGTAATCACGCTATCTTTCGAACAAGTTGAGATAGAAGGCTAAAATTTTGCACACATGTATTTTTCCCAGTAGGCAGGTTAAGTTCGTAAATGGGCCATGTAGGTCCAAGTTATCATATAGCCCCCACATAACGGTACCTCCCAATATGCGGTATTTTGATGATTTTAGCGACATTTTTTACCGGAATTGTTTCAAAATTGGTATTTAAAGTTCGTAATGGATACTACAGCATAACACAGAAAATGGATCATATAGGTCCATGTCTTCGTATAGCCCCCATATAACGCAATCCCCGAAATTCGGTGTTTTGATGCTTTTAGAGACATTATTTACCGTCATATTTGGCATTTGAGGTTCGTAATAGATACTACAGCATAAAACAGAAAATGGACTATGTAGGTCCACGTCTTCGTATAGCCCTCATATAACGGAACCCCCCGATATTCGGCATTTTGATGATTTTAGCGACATATTTCAAATTTGGCATTGGAATTTCGTATTGAATACCACAGCCTATGTGAAAAAGTTGTTTGTGCAGGTCCGCATCTTCAAATACCAACCCTATAACGGTACCCCCCGTTATTCGGTATTTTGATGATTTTAGCGATATTTTTCACGGGAATTGTTTCATATTTGGTATTTGAAGTTCGTAATGAATACTACAGTTTATGACAAAAAATTATCTGTGTAGCTTTACGTCTTCGTATAGCCCTCATATAATGGTACCCCTCGATATTCGGTATCTTGATGGTTTTAGCGACATTATTTACCGGAATTGTTTCAAATTTCGCATTTGAAGTTCGTAATTGATACTAAAGCCTATGACAGAAAATTGACTATGCTGGTCTACGTTTTATAACCCCTATGATACTTCCCTATATTTTTATTTTTTTTTTTAAGTTTCGCATTCGAATATTGTAATAGCTTATGACAAAAGTTGCCTATGCAGGTCAGAGTCGTCGTATTAACCCTAATGTACGGCTACATTCGGTACTTTAAAGATTTTAACAGAATTTTAAACGGATTTTATTTTTTTGAGAATTGGCAAATGTGTACCAAATTGTGGAGGTATTCAAAGTTCGGCCCGGCCGAACTTACATCTTTTTTACTTGATTTTTGAATATTTTCGAATCTTTATACTCTACAACACTATGTGTTGGGGATATTATAAGTTTAATTGGGCCAAAAATTATGTAACACCTCGAAATATTGATTTCCCACATAGGAAAGTATATATAGATCTTCCTATCTCGCCGAGCTAAGTCGATCTAGTTATGTATGTCCGTCCGTCCTTCTGTCCATGTTAATTTGTAATCACTCTTCAGGTCGCAATTATGGCCCGATCTTCACGAAATTTAGAATGGAGGTGGGGATAATGTCAGAATAGGACGCTATTTCTTTTGGTGGTGATCGCATAATATTTAGGGACCAATCGACGCGGAAATTAGCATGAGGCTAGAGCTTAAGGCTGGGCAGAAGAAGACTGTAACATTTGTGTAAAATAAAAGTCAAATTTTCCATTAAACCGCGAATATTTTTGTCCCGGCGAAATCACGAAGAGACAAACAGGTCAATTCTGAATGTTACGTAGATGCCGATAGCAAATATATCGGATTTATATAGCGAAATATATACAATGTATATATACAAAAGGAAGGGATGTTAGCTAGAATGCTTGTATCTCAAGAATGGCAGGACCATTTTGACAATTTTTGTCAATTCAGAATGCCCTCTTAGTTTAAAGGAATAAAATCTAAAAAAATCGCATAAAATATGCCAATAATGATGTTAAAATTGATTTTGTAGTATTTTGTAACATTTTTTATTTTTTTTCATATTTTTTATCGCATGCGATTTTTTCAATTTGACTTATAATATCGAGGTGTACATTTTGTAATATTTGTTCACTTTACAACACGGGCTGGGGCTATTATATACAGATTGCAATTATCATCCGATTCTCACGAAAATTTTCAAAAGGGTAAGGTAGGGCTCAGAAGGGCCAGGCTTGTTGTTTTCCAAGATGTCCGCAATATATTTTGGGGTTGAAATGGACCAACAACTAAAAATATTCCAGCCATTATAAAGGTCACAAATAGAAACCGAAGGACACGAAATCTCGCATGAAGTTAGCAAATAATAAAAATATTATGACCTGTGTAATTTGGAGACCATCGTCCTTCAAAATGTTGAAACATTGAGGGGGAGGTACTTGATGGAGTTTATCGATATTGTCCATTTTCGCACCTGACCTAGCACTGATGTAAATATAAAGATTTGAAGATTATTATAAAGATTTGAAGATTAATCCGAAATCGGATTATCCATTCTCTTTCTGTGCAGTATTTTTTTTTTTTTTTTTGAAAATTTCTACCTTTTTTGTGGGGGATGTATCAAAAGGAGTGGACCAATATTGCCCATATCTGAGATCGATCTAAGTTTGATAATAATATTACGATATACGAAGTTAGGACCAAATCGGATACTCCCATCGAGAATTATAATGCGCACCAACCAGACGGACGGACGGGCATCGCTAGGTCGACTCCAAATTTCCTGAAACGGATTTGGTCCAAAGAGGCCAAGGGTCTTAAAACCTTATTTAGATAAGGCACGTTTTGACCGTATCAAATGATATATACCCTCTCTAGCCATATGAATGAGGGTGTAAAGAGTTCCATTTATAAATGACTAAAAATAGAGTTTAACTACAGAAGACCTTGGAGGCATTTTAGCTGCCTTTGAATCAGTAATAACAACACTTCATGGTCCCCAGATTGCCAGATTCTTATCAGGTACTCACTAATAACTTAACTACTCCATATAAAAATTAGATGTTTAAATAATATATTTACTGCGCCATGGAAATACCTTAACTGACCCAAGTAACACCATAACGTTTTTTATATACAAACACTAACAACACTTAATTTTTCTTTTCTAATAAAATCTAATATTCTCCGATAGAAAAAGCATCACATTTTAAGTTCATAACCTAATTCCGGGAGCTGCTTAATGAGGGTCTTTACAAAAAAAAAAAAAAAAAAAAAAAAATAGTCACTAACAAGATTTAATATTACATCATTAATTTCTCATAATGAGTCCTAAATGCGAAATACGAGTATGTATGTGTGTCTGTCTGTATGTGACGGTACGATAAAAACGTCGTCGTTCTTCTTCCTGTATAGAGGAGCCATAGTGTATGTATGAGTATATACGTTCGTGTACTTTCAATACTAGATCTCATAGTTTTTACTGTTACGTTACAACCAAGGACGAGGACGAGAGAATTTATGGATTTCAGCGGAATATGAAAACAACACACGTCTAAACATGTATGTATGTTTACAACTACAACTGTACAAACATAAACACGCATCCATCGTTTTTTTCATCATTTACAATAGAATCATTGACCTAAATTATGTATACTATTTTGCTCGCTTTCTCGCGCTCTCTTTCGCACCGGGTTCATTGTGAAAGGGTGCTGTTTTGGCAAAATGTAATTGAAATTCTAATTAATTACACAGAGAAAGATAGAGAGAGAGGGAGAGAGAGTGGAAAAAAATGAGTGCAGTTTGGATTATGATGTAATAGCAATTATATTTAAAAGGTCTCCTATGTTTTTATAGGTCCAGGGAGAGGCTCTTAAAAACAAAAGAACTTTTTAAGTTATTTTATTGGTAAAGGAAACGATTTAAAGTATTTGGAAACCAGGCAGTCATTTTATTGAGAAAAGGCATTTTTGAGATCTCTTATGGACAGAATATACAGATGCATAGTAAAAATATTAGAGAACTTCTATTGGTACTTAAGTTACCCTTGATTGGGCCAAAAAGTTTGTAATAATTCAAAATATTGATCCGTCCTTCTGTCCATATTAATTAAATTATTTTCAGGTATAAATTCTATTTCGATCCGAAACAGAATATATGCCTTACAGACTATCGTAGCATATCAAATCAAACAAAGCAAGAATCAACGACCTGACGAAAAGGCTGAAGCTAGAATCTTGAAATTTTGCACGGTATTATGTGAAAGGGTTCAAATTGGTATGAGAAGATTAGAAAGTAATTTTGATATATGAAGGTGGTCTTGGAAATTGTTTTTTATACCCTCCTCCATGGTATGGACGAAATATACATTTTAGACCCCACACAGTATATATATTCTTGATCTGCATAAAATTCTATGTCGATTTAGCAACGTCCGTTCGTCCGTCCGTCTGTGGAAATCACTCTAGCTTCCGAACGAAATGAAGTAAGTTAATAAAAATTTACTCATGTGTGTATTATGTCTGCAGGACTTTTGGTATTGAAAATGCGCCATGTAGGTCCACGTCTTCGTATAGCCCTCATATAACGGTAACTCCCGATATGCGGTATTTTGACGATTTTAGAGTACTATATTTGGTATTGGGTGAAGGGATAGAGATAAAATTCCGAAATTTGATATTTAGATAACTTTTTATC